GTCGAGTCGCTCAGTCGAAATGTCTCAAGATGCGACTGGTTTAAGAGTCGAATTAGTTCCATGATAAGTTAGATTCCATGTCTTGCTCTGTCTCGGTGGTGATAATGTTGGGTTGTGTTTTGGTGCTCTCTGGGGTGTTGGTGGTGGTGTTAGGGGGCTTTCACCTATCGATATCTACGCGGTGGGGGTGGGGGGAATGCTCTATAATATAGAGCATTCCCCCCAGTAGACCCCCAGTAGCAGGAGCATATAGTCTATATGCTCCTGCTACTAACATTATCGTACTAGTTGCGTTATGATTTAACTAGACTGTCTCTGTCTACCTTTGTCTATTCCCCCTTAGTATCTTGTATGTGGTGATCATGTCATCTCTATTCCTTCTATCCTCTAAGGTTGGGAGATTTAGTTCCATTAGCCTATCCTAACATTTTAACCCTCTTAAGCTGTGGCATCAATTTGTTTGCAACCCGTCAGAAATTTTCTAAATTTTTGTTGGATTGCACGCCGAATGGGTCTAACTTGTTGTGTTAGATTGCATTGAAGAGCCCTGTTCTAAACGATGTTGCAATGTTTGCCAGCGTTACATATGCTGCTGATGTTACTCTGTTTATTGTGCCTCCAGAATCAGTGTTGAGATTATGCTCATATCCAGATCTCTCTCTTTTTCAGATTCCTGTAGTTGATTTGCCCTTAAGGGCCAAGTGTCTGTTGGTCACCCTAATGGTGTGGTGGTGGTGTGGTAGGACGCTGATGGTGGTGGTGGTGTGGTAGGACACTGGGTGGGGGGGGTACTGGTGGTGGTAGTGTGGTAGGACACTTGGGGGGGGGGAATGGTGGTGGTAGATGGGTTGTGGTAGTGGTGATAGCCATCTGGGCCGGGTTGGTCAACTCTGTAATCTTAAATTTGTCTTGGTGTGTATGTGGAGAGATGACAGCCAAGGCTACATGCACTCGCCTATATGTACTCACCTAAAACGACTGCAAAGATGGGCGCTAGCTCCTGAGCCTTGTTGTTCTTCCAGCTGTCTTATCTAATGTCTTGTTCGACCCTCCTGTTCCTTGTCATAGCAACTTTTGAAAGTAGGTTTAACTAGTTCTTCCTAAGTATCGTGACTTGACCTGAACTTTAATCGATAAATACATAAGGAGACAGCATCAATTTGCCCCGAGGGGCGAGTTTATTGGGCAGCGCCACTCATCGTGAGTGGACACACCGCCATAGTGACAGTATTGGACAGCGCCACTCATCCTGTGAGTGGACACACCGCCATAGTGACAGTATTGGGCAGCGCCACTCATCCTGTGAGTGGACACACCGCCATAGTGACAGTATTGGACAGCGCCACTCATCCTGTGAGTGGACACACCGCCATAGTGACAGTATTGGGCAGCGCCACTCATCCTGTGAGTGGACACACCGCCATAGTGACAGTATTGGGCAGCGCCACTCATCCTGTGAGTGGACACACCGCCATAGTGACAGTATTAGGCAGCGCCACTCATCCTGTGAGTGGACACACCGCCATAGTGACACAGTATTGGGCAGCGCCACTCATCCTGTGAGTGGACACACCGCCATAGTGACAGTATTGGGCAGCGCCACTCATCCTGTGAGTGGACACACCGCCATAGTGACAGTATTGGGCAGCGCCACTCATCCTGTAAGTGGACACACCGCCATAGTGACAGTATTGGGCAGCGCCACTCATCCTGTGAGTGGACACACCACCATAGTGACAGTATCAGACAGCGTCACTCATCCTGTGAGTGGACACACCACCATAGTGACAGTATTGGGCAGCGCCACTCATCCTGTGAGTGGACACACCGCCATAGTGACAGTATTGGGCAGCGCCACTCATCCTGTGAGTGGACACACCACCATAGTGACAGTATCAGACAGCGCCACTCATCCTGTGAGTGGACACACCGCCATAGCAGCATGTACAACACTCCCCAATAGGAAGAAAACCCGCTGGGTTGTTCATCCTGTCAACCCAGCGGGTTTTCTTCCTATTTGGGGGGGGGGGGTTGTACCCTAACTCGTTTCGTACTGAATAACTTGGAACGTGAAATCACTTGACCTGAAACGGACCATTTTGTTCTTTATTTCTCTAGCCCTTTTCTAACTAAAAATCTTCGTAGTTCTGAGAGAAGTCTTGTCGCAGCTTCAGCCTTGCTGGGGGAGGCAGGCAGGCAGGCGCACACGCACCCCCCCCCCCCCCCCCCCCCCACCCCCCACCCACCCAACAGCTCCTATCTACACCGTTCAGAAACCGGATTAACATTTAGATACGCCAAATGAGAAGTGACGTTCCCTCATATTAAATCAGGTTAGTGTCAGTGAGTGGCCTTTGTGGTGTAGTTTGATGAGGTCCGTTACTCTGGAGGTGTCTTACCCGGTGATGGAGGAGCGCCAGGGAAGAACAGACATATAAGTGGACACCCAAAGATACTTGCAGCTCAGATGGACGCCACCAAAGACACCACAACTAATGTGGTGTATCAGACCTACACTACCATTGGTCACGGTCTCCCCTTTCTCTCTCTCGCTGGCTCGCTAGCTCTCAAAATGTTGTTCTATTAGCGGGGATATTCTTGTGCGAGCCTTGGGCTTACGTGAGGTAGACCTATATTGAGTCGTGAGTCCTTGTGTCGTCTCTCTTGTGCCCACCTCTTGTAGCCCTCCTCTTGTAGCCCTCCTCTTGTGGCCCTCCTCTTGTGGCCCTCCTCTTGTGGCCCTCCTCTTGTGGCCCTCCTCTTGTGGCCCTCCTCTTGTGGCCCTCCTCTTGTGCCCTCTCCAGGACCACGAGCCGCCGGCATTCAGTGGAATTCTGGCTTCGGATGCCATAGTCGGCAGCGGCGAGTTAGGTTTGCGAAAGCCCTTTTCTCGCCATGGGAGATGAGACAAAGCTTGCTCCTCTTAATTTGATTTCTTTTTTGGCACGTAATATTTTCTCTTATAACATTTTATGTTGAGTTTATTGTAGTCGGTGGCTTGGCACTTTATTCTTATAATTCCTGCTTTCCTCATACCTCGCATACACCGGTATGATCATGGTATGACTGGTATACGCTGAGATCATACTGTAGGGAGATACAAGGCCGTAGTGTGTGCAGGCACCTAATTGTGATTGCGGGGGTTGAGCTTTGGCTCTTTGGTTCAGCAAGACAGGACTTTGGACTTGCTTTGATGTGTGTGTACTCGCCTAGTTGTACTCACCAAGTTGTGTTTGCGGGGGTTGAGCTCTGGCTCTTTGGTCCCGCCTCTCAAAGCGGAGTGTGTGTGTGCGTGCGTGCGTGTGCGCTCTGGGTGCTACCAACACAAGACGCGCATCTCTATAGAGTTGCCTCTCTAGTCTTGCGTCACGATTTGGCAGTGTGGTGGAGAAAATCCTCTGGAACTGTGAGTGGTTTTAGTCACTCCTGTAAGATGGTCGTGCCGGAGGACATTATCTTGGGACCTTCTCCCTTTTTATTTTTCATTTTGTTGTTGTTCTGGCTCTTGCAGAGGTCGCTGTTGCTCACATAGTTGCATATTGTCTATTTGGCGGAACAAACGTATCTTCCACGGTTCCTTGACCGTGTATTCAGTGGCTAAGACATGCAGATTTCAACGTCCTCCCAGCAAGCATAAGAAATATTGCCGGAACAACCGTGGACATCTTCAAGAGGAAACTAGATTTATTCCTCCAAGGAGTGCCGGACCAACCGGGCTGTGGTGGGTATGTGGGCCTGCGGGCCGCTCCAAGCAACAGCCTGGTGGACCAAACTCTCACAATTCAAGCCTGGCCTCGGGTCGGGCTTGGGGAGTAGAAGAACTCCCAGAACCCCATCAACCAGGTATCAACCAGTAGATAGAAAAATAGTTTCTTCAGTAGACGTAGCTATCACCAAGTGTGTTTTCCTGTCGCTTGTCAACATGTTGTTTTAGATTTAGCTACTCAGAACGAAATGTTCATGTAGCACGGGCTATGGTGAGCCCGTAATAGCCCGAGCTTGTCAACCGTAAGGCAGGTTTTTTATATGGTTTGGCCGCCTTGTTGGTGGGGACATGAGGGCGAGGAAGGGCATTACTCGTAGCCCTGCTTGTCTCCAGCTGCTGGGCCCCGGCTCGTCTTCTGTCCCCGCGACGCTGGCTATGGTCGCGTGCCCATTCCGTCGCCCCCTGCACCAGCCTGTATCTCGACTTACACGTTAGCCATTTAGCCACTACAGTTAACTAGGGGTTATTTTTGTAATAGCACTCTCATGACCCAAACGTTCCGAAGATGACTGTAATTCGTGTTGGCTATACGCTCATCACTGAGGCATATAGGCGGCCCACGCTTGTGAAATCGTGTGTAAATGACCTTATACGTGACGCCTGTTCTTGGGATGGGATTGAAATTGAAATAAGTTTATTGAGGTAAAATACACACAAAGGGATGAGGTAGCTCAAGCTATTCTCACCCCGTTAATGGGATGGGGATGGGATGGGATGGGACGGGACGGGATGGGATGGGAGGCGGGGCACTGCCTCGTGACACCTGTGTGGATATAATCAGTAACTCAAATGATTATATCTGGCGCTGACACCTACATCAGACTTGCTTGGCGATGGTTGAGCTGTGCGTGTGACAGACTCCAGGCCCCGTCACACTCCACACTGCACCGTCACACTCCACCGTCACACTGCACCGTCACACTGCACCGTCACACTGCACCGTCACACTGCACCGTCACACTGCACCGTCACACTGCACCGTCACACTCCACCCTGCACCGCTAACTACACGCTTGTAGTTTCCACGGGGGGGGGCTGTTAAATAATGCAGGGAAGTATGACTGGCATTCTAAACTGCAGTCCTCTGAACCAGCCAAGTCAATCGAACCAGCCAAGTCAATCGAACCAGCCAAGTCAATCGAACCAGCCAAGTCAATCGAACCAGCCAAGTCAATCGAACCAGCCAAGTCAATCGAACCAGCCAAGTCAATCATTTTTGCATATGTATTTTTATTCAATCATTTCCATCCATCAGACTTTCAAAGTATTCTGCCCGCATGTGTCTTAATTTCTTCTTTTGCCTCTTAACACTCTTCACCGTATCTCTAATACTTCCTTTGGTTTTTCCACTTGTTTCTGTTATATTTTCTAACTTAAATAATGTCCCGTTTTGAGATAAATTTTAAATTTATTTTTCTTCTATGCTCTTTGTGACGTCTTTTTTTTTAACTTTACAAATCTCTTTGCTCACATCACACACTTTCTCAGTCCTTTAAGTCTGCGTCCAGGTAAACATGAGGGAATTTAAATGCCAACCTTATAATTATCCCAAAGACGGCTCGCTTCCTCGAGAGATTAGACCTCATATCATCTTCTTGGTTCGTAATTCAACCTAATGGGGTATTTAGGATCTAAATCATTTGGTTGGTGTAAGTACACCTTTTGAGCAAATGGCCAAGGGCTATCTGGATGAAGAGGCTCGCTATAGTTGCTAGTCACAAGTATGACCTCCTAGCTGTTGTTGTTGTTATAGATTCAGCTACTTGGAACAAGATCCAAGTAGCACGGGCTATGGTGAGCCCGTAACTTACCTGGCACAGGAGCGGGGCAAGAAGCACGGGCTATGGTGAGCCCGTAACTTACCTAGCACAGGAGCGGGGCAAGAAGCACGGGCTATGGTGAGCCCGTAACTTACCTAGCACAGGAGCGGGGCAAGAAGCACGGGCTATGGTTAGCCTCGTGGACGGGAGATGTCTCCCGTCCGGACCTCCTAGCTCCACCTTCAGGCTTAAGTACCACCTCCTAGCTCCACCTCCAACCTTGTGGTAACTACGACAAGTTGTTGCACTTAAGACTTGCGGTAGACACTTAAGGTGCGCTTCGTGTTGACCTTGAACAAATAAGATACTCGTCCGGTCCTTGTGTGCCCATCCCTCTGTGCCCATCCCGAAGGTGGAGTTGATCAACGTCGACAAGGGTTCCCTTTTACATTGAAGTTATGGCGACGCAGGTCTGTGTGTGTGTGTGTGTGTGTGTGTGTGTGTGTGTGTGTGTGTGTGTGTGTGCGCGCGCGCACGCGTGTCCCTGGAAACACAAACCATAACTGTCTATTTTCCGCTTGTTACAACTTGTAATAAAGTTGTTACATCTTGGCTTAACGTGTTTATGACGCATTAGAACGTTGTTACAACTTGCTGTATTGGTTGTTATAATTGGTTAGGGGGTGTTAAAACTTCTTCGAACGTTGTACCAACGTCGTAGTTTCGGTGTGTGTTTGGAGGGGTGTGTGTGCGTGTGCGCGTTCGCTCTAACCACGTCTGGCTCAACAAATGCTATACTTAAGACCAAGTGAGAAGGACTCGAAGCTTCTCAACTGACACCTTTAGAGACAAACGTATTTTGTTTCAAAAGGATTCGAGACAGCTTCGTGAATCTGAGATGGTGTCGAAGCAGATGATGTTGAGCCAAGGACGAGCTTGTGGTTAAGGCTGCACTGGATGGTTAGAAGGAGTGCAGAGGATTGCAAACTTAAGAGATAAACAGTTCTTGGAGACATATTAAGTCTTAATCTCAAAAGATAAACAGGGGTAAATTTTATCTTTACATCAGTGGGCTGTTAAATAATACACGAGTGTGTGATCTCGCTAACTATTCTATTGCAAGGGAAAATCCTCATCACTGCACAATACAATTTCGTGACCTACGACCCAAGAATAAGATGATTAAAAACAACTTTGTCAAACAATTTGCGTCAAGCAAGACTTTTTTTTTTTTCTTGGTTCAAATGAAGAGTTTTAATCACTCGGCACAACACCGTTTAGCCTCGTGTCGAAGGCTGAGCTTTTTTTTTTAATACACCAACGTTACCTATCCCCCCCATCCTCCCCAAGCCTATCTATCCTCGGGTTAAACTCGACTACGCTGAAGCCGACCCCAAGGACGCATTTTCAATCTGAACGTTTTGTGTTCAAAATTGGTAGATTCTCAAGCAGGTTTTGCGCGTGCGTGTGTGTGTGTGTGTGTGTTTTAGAATGTGTATAGTTAAACCTAGAGTAAGTGTATGGGTTCTGTTGGCAATTATTTGTATTTACAATCCATGAGTCGAATCACTCTTCCAGAAACATTTGAACATTATCAGTCGAGACGTGTGTAAGGTGTTCATGCATACACAGGGGCCGAGGATACATACACAGGGGCCGAAGATACATAGAGCCAATGATACATATACTTGAGAGATTAATTTAATCCTGGACTTACGTTCAGGACTACTGAATACTTGCTGGTGGCTTAGTAAGCTGTTGTGGTGGCCTTAATGACCTTCCAGAGGTTGATAGGTCTTAAATCCAATGCAGGTTTGTAGGTTGGATTAATGAATATTTGCCCGAGTGTTCATGAGGAATGACCCTGAATGCCACGGTTATCTTCTTGAGGTTATCTTGAGATGATTTCGGGGCTTTAGTGTCCCCGTGGCCCGGTCCTCGACCAGGCCTCCACCCCCAGGAAGCAGCTCGTGACAGCCGACTAACACCTAGGTACCTATTTTACTGCTAGGTAACATGGGCATAGGGTGAAAGAAACTCTGCCCATTGTTTCTCGCCGGCGCCTGGGATCGAATCCAGGACCACAGGATTACAAGTCCAGCGTGCTGTCTGCTCGGCCGACCGGCTCCCTTGAGGAACATGCACGACACAACGCTTTAGAACGACACAGTTCATCATAATTCTCTAGCTCAACGACGTTCCAACGAGCCGGCTAGCTGGGATCTGAATGGTATCTGATCTTTGTTATGAAACGGAATGGTGGACCTTGAATGGTGAATGTGAATGGTGGAAAGTGAATGAATGGTGAAATGGTGAATGGTGGAAAACTGGGTGGTGGACCAAACTCTCACAAGTCGAGCCTGGCCTCGGGCCGGGCTTGGGGAGTAGAAGAACTCCCAGAACCCCATCAACCAGGTATCAACCAGGTATCAACCAGTCTCCCCTCCTCCTCCCCCCGCCCTGGTTATTTGTGGGGCCGGATGCAATTCCAAGCCGCGCCATCTTGTTGGCGTGTTGTAAAGAAGTGATTCTCGTTCGAATGCAATTTAGGTGATGTTTCCATTATGGGGGCGAATGACCTTTTATTGGCTCGAGTCGTTTGATATTCTTGAAGGCTCGTTAGAGTCGTATTGAAGACTGTTGCTCTCTTAAGGTCATGAACGTGGCTTGAAACCTATTCCAATTGGTGATTGATTGATTAAGATTAAGCCACCCAAAAGGTGGCACGGGCATGAATAGCCCGTAATCCAATTGGTGGTTTTTGTTTGGTTAATGCAAATGTTATGTTGGAAAGAGTTGAAGACAGACATATTCGAAGCGTCCATCTTGTCATTTAGGATGTTCGGGAGCTTTCTGAAGGGGGGAGAGCTTGTGGGTCCGAGGGGCCTTTTTGCTTTTACGTAATATTTCTAAACTATTTGTATAACTTTATTCGATTGATAGATGAAGATTAAGCCACCCAAGAGGTGACACGGGCATGAATAGCCCGTAAACTTTATTAATTTATCTTTAGAGTTTTATTTGTAAAAATGTTATTCATTTGTGTAATCCTTCATCACAAACTTTTTTCATGCCGGGTAAATGGTGGCTTCGAATACCAGCATTATCCTCACTTTAATAAGACTTAATCGAATTCCTCAGATTAGGCAAAATTGTAATTAATTTTGTCAATAAAAATGTTAATAATAAATAATAATTCAAATATATTCCGCAACTCTGTCGAACTGAGGTCCCGTTAGGGATCACACCCTAAGGGATCACACCCTAAGGGATCACACCCTAAGGGATTCAGGGGACGCGTCCGTGACGGGTCCAAGCTCGCCTAACAATATAATAGGTTAAGTAACAATTGTAATTACGAAGCTATAAGATGCTAATCTTAACATACTAACAAGGTTAGGTAAGGTCGGTGTTTTCTATGAAGCTTTTTAAGGGTATCTATTATGTTTAGTATATCACCTATGCACGTAGTTAATAAGTCAATATTGACTATACGAATTTGCGAGAACGGGTTGCACAAAGAACAAGGTAGTGTCCGAGCGGTCACCCATCCGGTCACTTGCCAAACACCACGGGTGTTAAAAGTCTTCATTAGCCGAGCTGCTCTCGCGAGCGTCCTCAATGTCAAGAAACTGTCGTGCTAAAGTGCCTTATCTTAACCTACCAGAGGATCCAGGTACAGAAAACGCAGGCACATGGGTGTTTAATGAATATTTCCGCGGTCGGATGGCCATAGATTGCGTAATTGACGTCATGTTGGGTTAGCTTGGGTTAAGTTGGATTAGGAGTTGGGTTAAGCCCCCCCCCCTCACTCTCCCATTGTATTAAATTGCTGGCTTTCTAACCAATTACGGGGCTATTCATGCCCGTGCCACCTCTTGGGTGGCTTAATCTTCACCAATCTTTCTAACCAATCTACAAGAATTCAAATTTCCTTTACTGGTGAACAGAGCTGAGGACCACAGAGAGATCCGGGATGTGTGTATAGCCTTACAAAGAAGTAGAATACCCTCTCTGTGTACATCAGCCTCGTGTCTGTGTGCTTTACCCCCCAGGATTTTTTCACCTTGTCGCCGCACTGCCATATTGGTGAAGGACTGATGTGGTGTGGTGTGTGGCTTCCCAGTATGGCTACCAGATGCTGCAGTAGTGGTAGTAGTACTAGTAGTAGTGGTTAGTAGTGGTAGCAGCAGTCGGCAATGGTCCTGACTCATCTCGTGGCGAGTGAGTGATGTTCGAAGACATATCATCTGGCTGAACGTTAGCCAAGTGTGGATGAGGCCGGTGGTGGGAAGGCGTGCAGGGCACTCCTGGCGTACCTGCAGGGTACGCGGACGCTCGTGGCGTACTTGTAGGGTACGCGGACACTGCCTGTACCTGCCTGACTCGCCCGTACTGCCTCTCTCTCCTCGTTAAAGAGTAACGAGGTGGTGGATAGCGAGGCTCGTCCCAGTGACTCTTCCTTGATGGCAGGTGGCGAGTTGATCACTCGCCACCTGCCATAGATCACTCGCCACCTGCCACAGATCACTCGCCACCTGCCACAGATATACAAGTTATGACTTTTCTTACGGATAGTTGAGTATTTAGTAAATCCATCTATTTCTAGAAC